CATATGTGTGATTACGTGTCCCATAATTGTTTGGAAAACCTCTTACCATCCCTTTGACTATTCATGCCCCCCACAGGTTCAGAACTGTCAGTCATTGATTATATGTGATGTCTTCCTCCATGATCTTCTCCATATTCAATTTTCCCCATCTGCATTACAGCTTGATTTGTCCTCAAGTAATTCTACCCAAGCAACTCTCTCAGAGGTACAACAGAAATGCCCTCCTGGGACTTAGCCATGAAAACTTGGGTAAAATTCCAGGTCCTCCACTCCGTTTTTGCTGCCACTTCTGTTGGCTGAGACTACGGTTTGGCAGACCACAGAAGATATGGATGTCGAACGCATGGTCTCATTGTGTACAGATCTTGTCGCGTCTTACCTTTTAAGTTAAATCTCAGATTGTAAAGCGTTCCTGGTGTTTTGTTGGCTTTCTGGTCTTGTTGTTTGTATTGGTTTCCAGCCCAGCGATATGCCCCCGAGGCGGAAATCCCTCCCCCCCCACACCGTTCATGTCGATTCAGCGATATGAATTAAAGAAGCTATAAAAAAATATACGAGACCCTGTCGGGAGATCGGAAGGCATCCGTCGAGATTTTATTTCGTGACGCGGCATGGGCATCGCAACCAAGCTCCGAGCCCTGAACACAAAAACAATTACTGTGAAAGAATAGGGTGCCGGTGTTGTATCGATTGCTCTGAAATTGCATTTTTGATTGAATGGTGTCACTCATAAATAAAAATCAATATTCCTGACCTGAATCCCAAATATCTGTCCTTTCTATATTCAGCCTTGGCCGGAATGTTATTCTGCCGGCTCCCCTGCGGTCTCCAAGCGTCGTTTCACCTTCCTTTGCGCTCGCACACTAAAATATTATGTTATTTTTAATATCATTTTCTTGCGCCCAGTTCTGCCGCAGTTCAGCATGCCTCTTCATTTCACATCTGAACGACCACACAAACACAGAGATGAATCAACCACATTTTATTTAATTTTAACTTTACGTAGCATTTTATTTTCACAAACTGTGTGAGTTTACAAGCAATTTCACCACTGTTGTCCAAGGGGAATCAAAACACAGGGAATACAATGGCACGTGGTGCACCAGCTGAGCACAGACCCCAATAGTCAGACTGGCCTTGATCACTGCCTCTGACACTCAAGGCACCTTACCTATCAATCATTTAACCACATTGTTCGTAGTTTAAATCTTTTTAATAATTCAATTGTATAGTTAAGCCTGAATAATCGTGTTTGTTGTTTTTAATTCAACAAGAGAACCCTGCCAGAATTCCAGAGTAGTTATGCTTCTGTACATGTGCAAAAGGCAAATAAAGCCTCAATTCAACTCAGTCCAATTCAAACAAATCTAGTTGTGGGACATATGGCTGTCAGAGCCGGGGGGGTCATGTTGGGTGAGCTCCCTGCCCAAACCTGGCCTTATGTTCTGCTGTCATTGTTAGGATTACATCAATACACCTTTAGCACTGCACGTTTTCTGATGTGCGTATAATTTCACCATATTACATGGTGTATGTGTGCATGTATATGTTTACATGTGTTTGTGTTTTTAGTCCAAAAAGATAAATATGTCGACAATCAGTTATATTTTTTTGTCATATACCCCCATAAAAATCAGCTTAGATAAATTCTTCCTGGACAGTGTGCAGTATCCTTCCACACAGTCCATAATCTGTACACGTACAGTCTGGGGCTGATAATATCTTTTCTTCGAGGTATTACCAAAACATGTGGAAAATGCCAGAAAAATGACAGGAAGCTTGTGGCTGAGGCTGAACGTGCTCTTCATCGTACCCACATGTAATATCGATTTCAGATTTTGTCCTTTTATTACATTTTCAGATGAGAGTATGAAAGAGTGTGTCAATTCGCTTTTTTCTGGTTTCAGTCAAACTCAAAAGAGACTTCCTGTTACTTAAAAAGGGGAAGGACATGCTTTAAAATGTATTTATCTAGTATTTATCTTGCTTGTCCGCTGACCTGGGAAGCACGAGGGGAGTGCCACTGGTTATTTGGCCCCCACCAAGTCCTGGGCATCAGCTGTAGCAAAGACCACGTTTCACACGCAGCTTCAAGAGACAAATACAAGGGCCCCTTCTCACGGACCAATCACGCAAACCTCCACATTGTTCTTAGCTACATACACAATAACAAGGACGTGACGTTGTTTCCTACTACTTTGAGCTAATGCTAAAATGCTACATGCCAAATTCATAAACGTTAAAGCATTTCTGTCACATCCCAGTTGACAAGCGTCATGAGATGCAGTCAGTAGCACAGCGCTCGTTAAATTAGCTCGTAAAGCTAAAACAAATGCTGGATTTCATTTGAATCCCTGCATAATCCATCGCTTGACTTATATTGTGTCTCCTTCATTAACAGCGGAATATAAGCAGAATTATTACTGACTGCAGCAACTTAATACTGACCTTGGGGAGCTTCCTCTTAAGAATTCTGAATGGAAAATTATGCAGACCCATTTTATGGGGACGGTTTAATAGTTAAATAAAACAATCATTTTTGCACTTAATCCAGGTTTAATGCATAAAAACTATATAGGTAAATATTGGACACTGTTCACCGCCAAATAATAGTCACAAAAGGAAAATTACACTTCATATGTGAAGGAAAATAAAGTCATAATTAATTACTGAGGCCTATTTGGGCAAAGTTGTCTACTAAATGCCTGAGACAAGGTAGCTCATCTACCCATAAAAAGAGCTCCAAATTTGTCCTGCCTTCATCAGAATGTTAGCAGTAACCACTGTTGGTGACAGAAACTGTTCAGACTTGAAAATCTGTTTCATGCTGTGCTCTGTAATAACACTGTGGTTGGTATTTGAAGGTTGTGTGCCACCTTAAGAACCACCTTAATTCCTGGGTGCGCTTTTAACCGCGTTGTTAGCTATTCTGCTAGCTGGAGTTAAAAATAAATAAATAATACTATGTGTAACTTGAGTCTTATTAACTTACAGTCCACAATGTACCAGGTTCTCTTTTAAACTGCCCCTCTGACGGCACGCGGTAAAGGTTTATAACCTACAAGGCGATGGTTTATCAGGGATCATTTTCTCTGTTTATTGTTAGCAAGAGGGATGCTAATAAAGCTAGCCATCCTAATAAACAAAGTCTGTTGCTTTGCAGTGGCTTTTATGCCCCCCCAGAATTTTGTGAGCGATTCCAGACTCGAGTGCCTGTTCCAAGACAGCAGCTTCCCGTGTATTTTTAGCGGATTAGCCTTGACAAAGAAAGGTCGGGTGTCAATTCCGAAAAAGATGACCTATTATCACGGACAGCCCCCGTGAGGTTTATAGAGAATGCACTTTTGACATACCACCATAAACTGCACCAAGGCAATCCAGCACCTGTTCCAGCCACTCCAAATTGCTTAATAAATCACACCAAACATTTATGCACTTGTTCCTTGTTCCAAGGCATAAAGCCTAAAGCATTTCGTAATTTTCAGTGTTAGACACCTTCGTGGCTTTAATTACCGCTTTAAAAATACACAACAGAATTTCGACTTCAAATCTGGATGGAGTCCAGCTATGAGTCTTCTGATTTGTGCTAATGCTGCCCTCTGGTGGACGTTGAAAGGAATTGTCCTGCCTGTCTGAGCTTCATTATGGCTGCAGCATTTTCCAGTTAATTTTGCACTGCCTCTAGACCACATTTATTTTCAGAATGGAGCATTGGACGGATCAGGGTACCCTGGCAGACTCAGAGGGCCCAGTTCTTTACAGAGGCCCTAAAATATAGTTTGGGGGCCCAGTCTGTGAACCACTCCCCCCGTTCAGTCGGAAAAATATACAGAAGTGACCCAATGTGACATTTTGTCGGGGGCCCAGAATTTCTAGCTACGCCCCTAGTCCTCGATTCCAGTAACTCAACTCAACTCTGTTTGCATGTGAGGTTTTAATACTAGTAAATAATGTCCTTGGTAACTTAATCTTGAGTATGGATCCAGTGGCATACTGGGCAGTGGCTATGCTCTTGCACTTTTAAGGTTAGGAGTTTGAATCCCACCCCTGGCTTTGTCAGTCTTCACCCCTTATTCGTGGGTTTCCTCTGGGTACAAACTGCCTGTACTCTTTGATTGCCCAAGCCTGGTGATGGTCTGGCATCTCATCCAGAGTGCCCTGTGCCCTGTGCTACAACAGAACCAGGCTCACCCAGGCTATAGATACCCTTAGAGTGGTGTTTCCCAACCCGGTCCTTGGGGACCCACAGTCAGTTCGTGTTTTTGCTCCCTCCAAGCCCCCTACCAGACAGTCCACGTTTTAAAAACATTGACTGTATGTGGGTCTCCCACTTTAGAAAACTAGCACCTCACTAATTAAGCAACATCACAATATCACAGTAATGTTTTTCTTACCAATGAAGAGAAAAATGTGTTTATAAATGACAACAAAAATCACAGTGCTGAGTTATTCCAAAATTACTTGTTTCATCATTTAATCTCAAAAATAGAGGCGGTACTATCATCTCTACCTCTATAGACCAGTCGCCTCTGGTGAGACACAAACCAACTGCTTGCAATAGGCACATGTTGCCACTAGGAGGCGCTGCTTGGATCTGAGTACAAGTGTTTCCTTTCTTGTGTATTTTCTGTGAATATGTAGACGTCCTTTGGTTCAGACTGACTGGGCCCCAGGCTGTGATGTGAGTGGGGGCCAGGCAAGCGGGTCATGGTCACCCTGCCCCATAGACCCACGTCTCCAATTTCACCTCACGTTGCTCAACCCTGCCGTCTACGCTGGTATCTTGGCCCTAGAAATGTGTTTATTGTAACTCCATCCATAACAAGTGTCTAGCAGGAGAGCGTGTAAGAAAGAGCGGCAAGGAAATATGACCCCCAAAGGGTCACTTGTAAAGTCGCACAATGCAATACCACCAGTCATCCAAGCAATGACACTTACCATCGTTAGACTTTCCTGGCCGAATTGCGTACGGATGCCAGGCACCGTGGTAAAATCAGGAGACTGACATGACCAGATGTCCATTTTCATTATCCGTCAGCTTTTCGCACAGACGCCACAAACCATAAATTTGATTTTATCTTCTCCACCCTCCTTCAAACCAGCAAGACTGAAGGATCTCGCCCCGCATCACATTTGGCCTCCAGCTGACTGAGTGAGTGAGTACAGCTTAATAACACGGCGTGTATTTACTGTTCACTATTTGCATTTGTATCACTTACGGCGCTGTCGGTTCCAGAACAGAATGACTGTGTGCTTACTGTCCATGAATAATCTGAAAGCAAAGGCTGTACTTAATGTCAGTGTGCATTTGTGTAGTTAGAGATGGGATTGTGGTTTCTGCAAACAGATTGGGCTGAGATTCTGCCATCTGTGAACATTCTTCTTTCGCCATTCAAATTAACCCTGGACAAATTAAGCTCTCAATTTTTGTAAGGACTGCATGCAAATAGATTTTTTTTCTCCTTCCTTATTCAGTAAATCAGTATTTTTATGAGACAATATTTAGGAGAATAAATCAAAGGAGGAAATCTATCAAAATGATTAACAGCATAACAATGTTTTATTCTTAATGTAATAATAGTACTGAAATTAAACTTCCCTTGCAGTTCATTGAATAGGACTTTCATGTCAGGACCCTACAGTTATTTATATCAAGGTCATAAAGATGTAACTGTTATCCCAAGCAACATGTCAAAACAGTTTTTCATTTTAAAGTTCAACAATTGGTGGTCAGAACCTTAGATTCTCTGAGAACAGTTAGTCCTCCATAGCTCTCCATGTTTCTAGCTCATGACTGATTCTCAAAATAACTAGCCTCTCCAGAACACACCAAGCCTCTTCATTTAAAGCATTTAGCATGCGTAATTTAATTGGCTGGCTGGTCAGATGAGGGAGGAGCTTAATAGTTCCCCTTAAGACATTTTCTGAGGCAATAAAGTTCTGTAGTACCTATTACTCGTAGGATCCCCAAAAGTAGACAGAATATTACCATATCATGTTTCTCTGGAATGGGCCTAGCTATTTGTTGAAGTAGGACCTTTTCACAGAATTTGAACACGCAGAACTGATATTCTGATCTTCTTTCAGGTCAAATCAGCGGTGACAGCCATGTCTGAGAGGTATGTATGCATTTTGGTGCCCTTCAGTTCTATACTGCAATTCATCCTTGTCACTTTTTGAAATGCATCAAAATTGATTTCTTCCATTTAATCTTTTTTTTTATTCCCCCGTATGACTCAATACTAAAATAGCCCGGTAAGTGCGTTATTATTCTTGCAGAAAACTAAATGTGTGTCATGAACTATTTGCTACAATTAAAATAATAACGAAAAACAATTTCAGTGCTGAGAAGTTATCTTTCAGTGTTCTTATTGAACAATAATTTAACAGCTGGCGGCCAAGAATATCAATACTTCTAGAGCAAGTAGCCATAGTAATCCAATAAAAAAAAGTGTAACAGACTTCAGAAGCATAGTTGCTTAGAGCATGCAATTTGTCGAGCTGAATTTTTTGTTCATTTTTCTTGGCGATCCTGCTTGACATTTTCATCTGCATGACAGATGTTCACTTTCAACTTCCAGATTAGAAACCAGATTATAAAACATGTGTTCGCTGTTGTATCAGTAGCAATGGCAACAAGTAAATTCAGGTAAAGTGCCAAGATAAAACAGATGGTGTTGTGTTAGGTGGAGCAGCATGTAAATTCTTAATAAGCTTTATCGCGTATCTGGTGATCTTGACAGCAAGAAGAAACAAGACCAACAGTCCATCAAGAGCCAAGAAAAATATTAACTAACTTGTCTTATTAACTAACTTGTCTGCTTCTTCTTCTTCTCCAGAGGAAGTCCAAGATCACTGCATCCCGAAGACTGGGACTAAAGGTACATATTAGCCAGCCTTTGATTGGCAGCCGAAGGGACTAAAAGTACCTGTTAGCCAGCCTTTGATTGGCAGTGAAAAGGACTTAAGGTAAATGTTAGCCAGCTTTTGATTGGGAGTAGACTGGGTCTAAAGGTACATGTTAACCCGCCTTTGATTGGCAGTAGAAGGGACTAATAGTTCATGTTAGCCAGTCTTTGATTGGGAGTAGACTGGGCCTAAAGGTACATGTTAGCCCGCCTTTGATTGGCAGCAGAAGGGACTAATAGTTCATGTTAGCCAGTCTTTGATTGGCAGCAGAAGGGATTAATGATACATGTTAACCAGTCTTTGATTGGCAGCAGAAGGGAGTAAATGATACACTTTAGCCAGCCTTTGACGGGAGGAGACAGTAGCGATTGACAGGAGCACTGACAATCATGCCACAAGCTGATTTCTATGTTGGTGCCAACACCACCTGCCTTTTCAGGGATGGTCCAGAGTTCCATAAAAAATGAGTTCAGCGTCACTGACCCTGTTTCATCACAGATCAATCTGCTGAAAAAGGCAGCCTCGATGCTGGAAGCTGAAAGGGAGGAGAAGAGGCTTGAGAGAGAGAACACTCTGAAGGAGCGAGTCCCTCCCTTGAAGCTCACAGGACTGTCCGCGCAGGAGCTTCAGGTGCCGCACCTGAATTCCTCACCTGCCGAGCATGTCATGCGATACATGCAGCTCCCAGCTGACATTAGTAACCCATTACACAAACCCTTACATAAGTAAACATTCACATAAAATACCTTCAAGACACCATATAGAACACAAACGCCAAAAGTATGTTAGTAATACATACTAAAGAACGTATTAAATTGATGAAAATTTTTACTCGTCACAGAATCTTTGCAAAGAACTGCACCGTAAAATTGATATCATTGATGAAGAGCGGTACGACATTGGGGCGAAAGTGGCAAAAAATGAAGAGAAGGTATTTAAAATCCATCCATTTGTCCATCCATCAATCCATCCATCTATCCATCCATCTAACCATCCATCTTCTAACCACTTACTCTGGTCTGGGTCACAGAGTATTTAATATCACTGATAACATTTCTGATGTCCAATATTTACTTTGCCCAAATAAATTATATCCTATTTATTTTTTACTTGTCAAAATATTAATGGCTATTGGGCCACCAAGCTCAAATAATTGTTTTATGCATATATTACCCATCTGTTCAAGTACAGTATGACAATACAGAGCATTGGTGCTGCTTTCGGGTACTTAAAGTAAGTCTGCCAGTGCACACTGAACCTTATGGATGTGTGCGGCCAAAGATCCAGGATTTGTCCCAGAAGATCTTCGAGATAAAGGGCAAACTGAAGAGGCCCAACCTGAGGAGGGTGAGGATCTCGACTGAGAACTTGCTGAGTGTCCTTCTGGGCTCCAAGCAGAAGGAATCCATTGACTTCAAGGCCAACCTCAAGACCGTCAAAAAGGAAGAGGAAAAGGTAAACCAAGGTTCCTCTGACCACAGACCACTGATGGTCAGTTAGTGGCAGTGCCAGTGATGCACTTGTCTACCCAGAATCCCCTCATAACGCAAGGGCCAAGCTAAATTCCAGTGTGACCAACACAGCTTCTATTCATCAAGCCTATTAACTGTCAGCAGATCAAAACCTTTTGGCAGTAAGAGGCTTTATCTATACCTGGCATACTCTGTGATATTTCAGTTCAATTCAGATTATTTTTATATCACCTTTCCCAACATAATTGCCTCAAAACGTTTTTTAAAAATCACTTGCTGAAATTCAACCGTTAAAGAACACAATCGTGCAAAATAAATATTGAACAGAAGTCAACAGTTCGATAGGCGAGAATCCTGGGAGGCATACAAACCAGTATACAGGAAATACACAGAAAACATAGAACACAGGACAGCATGTGACATACAGGCTGTGCATTTCTTTGCTGTGTCCCCACTGTTGACGTGTCACCTCTGCAGAGGGAGGAGGTGACAGACTGGCGTAAGAATGTAGAGGCCATGTCAGGAATGGAGGGCAGGAAGAAGCTGTTCGACCCCGGACAATGAACGGGACGGCATATCTCAGTCCACCTCCGGCTGAAATTAAGATGCCACGAAAGAAAGAATTGAAAGAATTCCCTTCAACATGGTCTTTTGCAAGACATTCGCGCCTGAGCTCCTAATCTGCCCCAGTAATTGAAAAATTGTAATTAACCAAGTAATTGAAAATTTAGCAATTAACCAAGTAATTTAAATTTAGTAGTGTAATTAATTACAGTAATTATAGATAATTATAGTAATCAAGAATAGTAGGTAGAATGCTTCTGTTTTAGACCTCTATAAGTTTTATTATGCTGTTAAATATACAGAGATTTAGACTACTAGATTTTAAATAGATAAAATTTTGAACAGTAAGGATATTTCAGAAGATGGGCTGATACAGATTTGAACATTTTGTTTCAGGAAGGTTTACAAAATGAAAAAGACAAGATATGGACACTATTTGCAATTCTCTGAGACAAGATTAATAAAGTTCAGTAATGCTGGCATATTTAAGTGTGCAGTGTTCCTCTTATTCAGCTGTAGGCGGCGACATACAGCGATATGTGGGGCGGGTCTCTGGATACACCGTATTTGTTTGCTTGTGATTAAGCCAAATGGTACTCCATAAATACTAACAGGAGTTACCTGTTGAGCCACTCTCTAACCAGCAAAAGAACATAATTTCCTATATTATAATTAAATTATTTTCACTGCCTTCATGAAGCTTGCAAACATAAACTGATTTTGTTCATATGTATACTGTATATTAACTCGTTTTTGAAGATTCCTGTACATTTCGTATGAATGCAGCCTTGTGGAATTTCAGAATGTGAAGAGTAATACGGCTGCAAGACCGGAATAAGTTCTTTGTGTATGTGTGAAATGATGTGGTATATTTTTCCATTCTAAACTCCATAATACTATGACTTATTACAGCTATAGGACAATTGCTTACTGATGTTTTTTGTTACTGCAAATGTAAACATTCATTCCTAATATAAAACTATTGATTAATGAATTAAAGTGCCAGGTGCCAAGCTTTGAAAGTTCGTACATCTCCAGAGAATTGCGATGTGGTGTCTCAGTGATCAGCATTATGACGTCACTCTTCCAGAGTTGCAGCTTCAGTTGAGCTGAGTTTGCGTGTCCTCATCGATGTTTGTGCAGCATTTCTCCCCCAGTCCGAGAGTGTGTCACCCGGAGTTTGTGACCTGTGATGGACTCGTGTCCTATCCAGGGTGTCCCCAGTTTTCTGTCCTGTGTTTCTTGGGATACACTACAGACTCACCGTATAGCTGTACGGCGGCGTACGATTCTGCCATGCAAGGCGTCAGCATGCAGTAAATGTTTAGTTCTCAAAAAAGAGGAATGAGGGGAAAACTGTTAACAGTAACCTAACAAGAGAATTGAGCCTGTCAGTCAGTGATACTACATCGAATAGGCTTATTAATAAATTCACTTACCACACACTTAACATCACTATTAATGCGATGAGTTGTTCAGCGCTTCTAAACTGCCTTGCAAATATACGAGCACAAGTTCCTTTAAATTATTTAATTAATGTATTAATAAATTAACAGTTTTACTCATTTAAAAAAAGCGTTCGCAATGCCGGGTAACGCCTACGTCTGGTTGGACAGGAACTGCGAGAAGCGCTGCGGACTATTTATGGATTTACAACACAAGCACCGCCTACTTGGGAGCTTCTGGATCTCTATTGGTCCGTTCACCCTGCCACTCACACCGTAAAGGACTACGAAAGTGCTAATGTAAAATTCTGACAGCTGTGCCTTGCGTGGAAACAGCTCGGAATACTGGACACTGGGTCAGTATAAGGTATATTTAATCATTAATCTCTTTTATTTGTAAATATGAAATGCCGGAAGTGTTAGAGAAAATGAGCATTAAAAGTCGTTCGTTGTCGATATGATGCAAAGATGGGAAGTTACAAGTAGCAGCGGGCTAATGTGGCTATTCTGTATATGAACCTAATATAATAATCAATATTATTGTAGATATACCGATATTGAGACATCTGCAGTTTTGAATTTCAGTTGTTAATTGACCTGTATTCGTTTTGTGGAAGAACTGCGTATTTTTCTTAAATGAAAAAGGAAATCGGTATTCTGGGAGCAAGTTATGCAGTGGGAAATAAATTGACCAAAATAGTTCTCGTAGTGCGCCCCAATGCGCGCTGCTTCGATGCTCCGTTGTGTGTGAACGAGGCGCTGATGTCGTTGTTTGCCGTCTCTGCTCCCTCAGCAGAGTGTGCGGGTTCCTGCCTTGGGTCAGTGGGATGCCTGAACACAGACTGTTCCTCCTGAGACACGGGGAAGGGGCCTGGAACAAAGAGAATCGCTTCTGCAGCTGGGTTGACCAGAAGCTGAGCGAGGACGGTGTCAAGGAGGCACAGGAGTGCGGGAGGCTCCTCAAAGAGATGGGCTGCCAGTTTGACATGGTGTTCACCTCCATCCTCAGCCGCTCGGTGCAGACAGCCTGGCAGGTGTTGGAGGTCATGGGGCTGGAGTGGGTCCCTGTGGTGAAGAGCTGGAGGCTGAACGAGCGCCATTATGGGGCTCTGATCGGCCTCAACCGCGCCGAGATGGCCCTGAACCATGGCGAGGAGCGCGTCAAGTTGTGGCGTCGCAGCTACGACGTGACTCCGCCCCCCATCGACGAGTCCCACCCCTTCTTCACGGAGATCTACAATGACCGACGGTACAACAGCTGTGACATTCCCAAAGAAAACCTCCCCCGCGCCGAGAGCCTAAAGGATGTGCTGGATCGCTTGTTGCCCTACTGGGACAACATAATCGCCCCCGAGATTAAGCGTGGGAAAACAGTGCTGCTCTCTGCCCACGGCAACAGCTGTAGGGCTCTCCTGAAACACCTTGAAGGTATCTCAGAAAGCCATAACTGATGCCACATCCATAGGGTGACCAGATAATCCATGTCAGGGATTTCCTTGACTGAAAGACTCATCCAGCTTTTTCATATTAGCATTAGTGACACATGCGTGATTATAGGAGACTGACCAATCAGCACACAGCAAGAACTTAGTGTTTAAGTGAAATCCAGGTCCTTTTAATTGAAATGGTAATTTACAATTCCTGTCCTGGCTCAGAGTGTCCTCCCTGACATGGATTATCTGGTCACCCTACACATCCATCAAACCTGCAGATGCTCACTTTATACTCTCTATACACTTGGACAAACTTAACTGTAGCTAAGCCTATATATTTCCTGTTTTGGAAGGAGTTCTGTTTTTAGTCTTAAAATGGCAGCCATAAGTTTATCTAAAGGGCAGGCAGTTAATGTTACATTGTAGGAGTGCATGCCCTTTAAAGTTTTAAGGGCAGCTATATTTCAGTCAGCTGTGACCTCTGAGACTCACTGTACTTCTAAATCTTGATCCCCTTAATGTTCAAGAATAAGCAGGGAAGTGGGCGGATGGATGCATATTCTCTGAGTTTCTAACAAGGCCACCAGACTTCCCATGATGCTGTACTGCAGTTAATGGTCTTCTTCCTGTTTCACTTCCACTCAGCCAGACAGGAAATCTCTTCTGTTTTTTTTTTCTTGTGATAGGGATCTCAGACAGTGACATCGCTGGCGTCACTTTGCCCACCGGCGTTCCGATTCTGCTCGAGCTGGACGGCGACCTGCGTCCAGTCAAGCCCCGGCAGCTCCTGGGAGACCAGGCCAAGATTCAGGCAGCTATCAAAAAGGTGGAGGACCAGGGAAAAGCCAAGCCGGGGGGCAAATAATGGACATGGGGATGGATCCTATAGTTAGGGTTACTGTGCTAACATGGTTTCATGATTAACCCATCAGAATGTTTTTAGCATATATCTGGGTTCAGCCTCTCTATGCCACTAACCATAAACTCTGATGCTGACAGCAAAAGCTGTACATCTATACAGATTTCAGTAGGGCATCCAAGAAAGACAGCCTGTTCAATGCACATTTCAGGCACATTTGCTCTGCCTGTTACATAATCCTTTGTTTACATGTTTTTGTTAGATTGTTTAAAAAAAATAACACATGAATTGCAGAAATATTTTCATACCTTAGCCCAGTGGTTCTCAATCATATTCCTACCCCCCCCCGCCAGAATATTTGTATTCTTACCCTAATTTAATCAGGCTCATATGGTCATTAATAGGCTAATAATGAATGTGGCAGGTTGAAAACAGTTTAGGTTCATTCTGGCGGGGGAGATTGAGAACCACTACTTTAGCCAAATGCCTTACAGCTACTATACTTCCGGTGAAAACACACTAGCAAAATTAACCACTAGGTGGCGCATCGCCATAATTGCAGCACATAGTATTTACACATCGAGCACTCTTTCGTTCCCCCACTCCCACGTTTTCTTTGTCTCCCTTACTTACCAAATATTAACATCACAGTTCAGGGACATGTTTATTTAGAATTGAATGCTTTTTAGTTAGATTTAATTGTTAACCTGATACACACACACACACAGACATATAAGATAGGTGTGCCTCTGGTATTTGTTATATAAAAATGCCCATTGTTTCAGTGAGGTAACTGATGACATGCTTGGCATCCTCCAGTGTCCACATAGTGGAACCAGCAACAAGTATGTTCTGCTGGTTATATAAATCGAAACGTCGCCCATTAATGCTGGCTGCCTTCCGTAATCTACCGCCAGGAATTTCGCTTTAAAATAATGCCTAGGACTTCCGTGATGTCTGTTTGAAGGATATCTGCATCAAACTAAGAATTTCAATTGATCCCAAAATTGGTGATACCGCGACATAATGCACTTTTAACGTGTTTCTACTGGCACATTATTTATTTAAATTATTTGCTTATTTGAAACACAATTCAGATTCTGTTTAAGAATCATAAACTTGAGTCAAACATGTTTAAATATTGGAAAATGTAGTTATTTGTCAATGCAATGTAGTCCCTGACTCTACACAGATAGAGACTCCAGCCAGCTGAATACTGGCTACAGTTGCAGAAGGTACAGTGCACAAGATTCATTCTTTCAGGTCTTTTCACTGCTGGTAACTTGCTCTTGTTTGTATGTTTTGTTAGGTCAAATACAGATTACATTATTGTTAAAATATTTATTATAAGTTTATATGTATTTATATATATTTGTTTCCATCCTGTAATATAGTACACTCAAACAGATCTTTCTAAAGTTATATGGAGCAGTAACTGTGGCGCAGTAGTGGGTATTTATAATGTCTTAATAAAGGCAATAAAATAACTTCTGAACACCTGAAATATAGCATAAGCCTCTCTTTTTTGGACGCTGAAAATCAGTAACTTTGCCCTGAATTTAGTTTTTGCAAACCCTACCTGAACTTTCTTCAGTCTGCAGGTGAAATCTTCCACTGATTTAACAGAACGTCTGCCATTCCAGTCTGAGATTTGGAGGGCTTCTTACTTAAGTGTCAGCGTGCTTGATGAAGGATGACGGCTGAAGTGGGAGGGGGGCTGTATTCTCCGCATGTCACGTGTTTCATTGTAAATGCACTTTAACATCAGCCTACAGTGGGAACAAAACTGTGGGTATTTCTAGATATGCATTGGATTACCAGAAGGGGGCGCCAAAGTGATCCTCTCTGCCTTAGCCTGCTGGATGTCCCACTGTCTGTTGCAGTAACATTGTGAAACTGATATTTCAAAGATGGATCTTTCCCGGCTGTTCTCCAGTCATACAGATTGATGGCAGATGACAAATGATATAGATGATAGATTCGTCATCTAAAGCAGCATTTTTTTTTCTGACAGCTTCTTTCCGGACAGATGCACTTTAATAACTTTTTGAGTACAACCACTCGAGAAGGGGATAAATTCAAACATGTAAACAAAACTCAGTTACTGTCATGTTTCAGATGTAAAATTTAAAAAAGCAATATTCACAGGTCAGAAATAGGCACGCTATAGATACATACAAACATCGAACATTTTTGTGATAAAAAAAAAAACAAGAATCCATACTTATCCAGTGACCTGAACACATCGGTACAGTTTGCCACTGACGCTCTCATGACAGGCTTCCGGAAAGTTTTACCAGTGTTCAGAGGCACAGCTGCAGGGATTCTGGCTGCAGCAGGAAGTGAGCTGAAGGAAGGGAGGGTGAATTGGCGTATCCTGGTCAGCAGGGAGGGGGGTGCATATCTCAGCTGTATGTCACTGTGGTGAAGCCGGAGGTGGGGGTTGGTGGTTTCTGCAAAAACTGTTGACACTGGAATTTACACTCAGAAAAATGACTGGTTTGCCTCAGAAATCCCAGCACTGGATCCAGTAATATAGGCTTAATATTGAAGACATAGGGCATATAGATGATACCTTCTCTGAAATTTGATATCCTGCACTTACACATCCACCACACTATTGAAAAACATTCTGCAAAGCATCTTTATAAAGTTTAACAAATAAGGTTCCTGAAAGCAGATGTTTTGCCTACCATTAAAAATATGTCCAGGGTAAAAGCATCATGTCATTAAAATTGCCACAGCCATCGCAATGACATTTAGGCTTTTTAGTAATATTTCAATGAGAATATGTTTAATCTTAAGAATCTAGCTCTTCTGAAGTCTTCATATCTTCGTTACACAGTGCTATATACAGCTCTGTGTAAAAGATGGTAACATATGCAGTTGGGTCAAAGAAACCATGATATTTCCTCTCATAAATATTTCTTTTGTGTGGTATTTATAGAACTATCAGAGTCCATTTAAACTCTGTATTTCATTAAAGCATAAAGAATCAAACATGTTGCATGTCGGTCAAAGAGCTAGACAATGAACAAATCGAGTACAGGTTTAAGGCCTTGGATGGTGTCTTGTGTCCTGCCTGAACTTTTTTCTTTGACAACTGCCAATCTCATTAAGACTTAAGTATATAATTATAAAGGGCGTGATCCAGCACCTGACAGATGTTTACAAAGCAGACACAATGGGTGACGACGCAGTGGAAACGGTGCCACCTTAATGATATCGTGATGATGCTTCATGAGCAAAGTGTCATCACAGTAACAGCTTATTGAGTGGCAAACGCAACCAGGCCGCTCTATAAAGACCATTTCCCTACTATTAAAATGCTCAAATATCCTTTTATGGCCGGGTTCTCTTCACGAATCTCCCCTTCTCGAAATAAGTGTGATTATAACCTGGCAAAAACCAACCTTGCTGGAGGTTTTTCTTGTTCCGTTATATAAAAATCGCGTCTTGGATTCCTTCTTCATGAGGACAGCATCAGATCCCTTAATTCTCAATTGGCGAAAGTGCAGCATGGTTTAAAGTGCATTTTATCAGTGTGCCGCTGGGGTTACAGGCAGGCTATTCGTCGTGCAATTAAAGCGTAGCGTTCGTCATTAATTTAATGTCCCGTTACATATTTGAATGAGTTACAAGCATATCATGTTCTCTTTTCTCGCTCTGTGGGCCTCGGCATGCTGTCACACGATCTGTCATCACGGCTTTGATTTAAAGCCCTTCATGTTAACGGACATTCATGTCCGTTTAAGGATTAAGCCTGAGAGAGAGCCATTTGATACACTTGCCTATTTAATTCTACTCCTCACACGTCAGAAATCCAAATAAGTACAGACTAAGTATGAGTATGTCCATTCGCTCATCCCCATATAGGGTTGTGGGTAAGTTTTGAGGTAATGAAGTTAAAATAGCCATTTTTTATTTTTATTTTTATTCAAAATAAATGTGAATGCCAAGGCCTCATTTCTAGCATGTACATTTAACCTTCCGAAAACAGTTGCTGATCTTTAATGCATGGGTTTAGAACTGCTGCCTCACAGCAAGAAGGTCCTGGGTTCGGTCCCGGGTCCTTTCTGTGTGGAGTTCACATGCTCTCCCCATTTTTGCTGGGGGCTCCGATTTCCTCCCACGGTCCAAAAGTGTGCAGGATAGGTTGATTGGTGAGTCTAAATTGGCCCTGTAGTTGTGTAAGTGTGAGTGTGTGTGCCCTGCAGTGTGTTGGCGACTGCCCAGGGTTGGCTCCCACCTGCGCCCATTGTTCCCGGGATGGGCTCCGGTCCCCCCTGTGACCCCAGTTGGGATTCAGAGGTTTCAGAAAAATGGATGGATGGATGGATGGATGGATGGATGGATCTTTAATGCCCCCACTTATAGGAGAGCTCAGGTGTTGGCACAGCTGACATCTGTTTCTTATCTGTTTCCTGGTGTTTATGGTGCCCATACTGTAGAACTCTGACTGTCTAGTCTGGGATTCCCCAGTCCTGGGGGGCCAGAATTCCACCACAGTTTGCAGATTTCCCTGCTCAGACATACCTTAAGCAGCTAATTACCAGGTGTGTCTGAACAGGGGAATCTGCAAACTGTCTTTCAGGACCAGAGTTGGGCAGGCCTGGTGTTGGCTTTAGTAGTAAGTAGGTTTCAGTCATTATTATTGTCTTTGGAATCAGATTTTGCTACTTTAATTCACCTACATATAATTTTCACCAGTGCATTACAGAAATAATAACTATTTTGACTTCACCATGGCAGCACTTATGAAGGCCAATGCAGCTGGAGATGAAAGGCAACTGGGACACGCCCACTCATGCTTCCTGTCCAATAGCGTCTTGCTTTTTGCAGCTGGACACGCCCAAAAACATGTCATTCACCCAGAACTGTTAATCCACGTCTGTCCCCAGCCGACACAGACGACGAGAAAAGCCACATCCTGGTCCGGAAATTATAGATTTAACTCTGGAGCTTACACTGCTGGTGTAGTTTAAGACAAAAAAAATATGATGGCCATTTGAAATTGTGGACACTTCATAAAATGTGAGCTCGTGTGGGACGTTTCCGTAGGATAAATCTTTTGAGCTCAAAGCACCACAGGAAATGACCAAAGTCTCAAACGTTTAATTATTACACTTCGGCTAAACGCAAAACCGTGCCACAAGCCTTTAAGAAAAGTGCCTCACATCCTTACAGCATCCAATCACATGCATGGCAATGCAAGCCCAACCCCAACCCCAACCCCAACCCCAACCAAATCCTACAGCCTGTTCTTTAATTAAACAGGCGGGGCAGCACAGTGCTGTGTTTGCAATTGTGTGTGCCCGTCAGTGCCAGGCTAGACCGTGAATGATCATTACCCTTCATTACAGCCCAGACAAAGCACGAACCTCCGTCCCACTGCATGCTGGGTTTTAGAACAGCTCTCCTGTTTTTTTGGGCTAAAATTGAATATCAAACTTGACAATGCAAAAACATTATTGTTCAGTGGAACAGACACAAACCTTTCCCATGAAAACTCTAAATTCACAATTACATAATGCCGTTACTGTAGTGACTATCTGTTTAGCACGATTTCAGTATTTTATTTTTTATCAAACTGGTTTGATTAATTAATATAAATACATGTCTTCATCAGTCGGAACAGAAAGTAAGCACAACAGACACAGGAAAGGTTAAGTCACCGTCTTTGCTGTGCAAGTTGAGAGGTTTTTAACTCTCTAAATTGGGGTTTGTTTTTTAATTCTTTCCTTCTCACGGTTCACCGTTTTTAAGTATTCAAACAGAAATCCCCCCCCCCCCATGTTTTTCTCGCCAAGATTAACATTTCATATGATTGTTCCTGACAGACGATTTTCTTACAGAGGCCTCGTGAAGGATAACCAAAAAAGGGCATATTGCGAGTCTGTTTTGGCAGCTTACTGGGATTTTGGGGAGTTTTTAAGGTCTAGGTATTTCACTCCCCTCCTCCTCTTTTCACTTTCTTTTCGCAGACAAAAATTACTGGATTATACAGGAGCGCCGCTCTCTCGCAGAAAGTGGATCACATTTGAGGTTTTTTTTTTATTTTTTGGGCGAGGGGGGAGTAATTGGTTTCCAATTAGAAGAAGCAGCGGGGAGCGCCGGGCAGGGGCAGTAAACAGCGCGTAGACGGGGGCTGTGATTTCCTCAGGGAGGGGCGGCCGCCGCTCTGCCGTTTTAATCTGTGCTTTAGCTCCGCTCCGCTTTTTAGGAAGCCAGCTGCGCCAGTAGACCGCACCAGTAAGTTTTCTTTCCCACTTTCCGTCTCGCTAAAGTGCTTTATGCGGGGTTTTAAACTCGCATCGCGCCATGAGCAGTAAATGTGCGGCGGCTGCCTGCGATCAGTACAGTACGTGCGCATCTAGGCTATTTGGGACGGGGGCTTTTCGTATCCATTGCTGGCTCTAACCTTGTTTTCGTTCAGTAGATGTCTTTGAAGGTTAATTGCAAAACAAGCATTACAGCTAGTCTTTTATGTTTAACATGTCTGGCAGATGTATGCATTTTATCTATCCTATGTAAAAATGTGTATGACCAGTGCGGTTATATTGCATGTGGTTTGCAGTTATTTTGAAGTATGTTTAACACAAAGGCAGCCTGGGGCTGGGCTGGTGCGGCCGCTTTTAGATGCTTATCGGGCGCATAAGCGCAGAGGAAGCGGGCGCCCAGCCCGGTATGCAGGCCGGCCTTAAGGTCGGGGTGCATTGCTGGGAATACTTTATCTGCAAGGGCACTTAGGCATGGGAAAAACTGGAGACCAGGGGTCACCGCAACGACTGGAAAGACCCCTTAATGTAACTGCAACACACTGCTTTCTTTTGAGGGTCGTCTTATTGATTGCAGTTGCGGTATACTTGATCATGATCGTGCAGTGGTCAATTTTTTTGTGGCACGTTACCCATTACGGCTTTAAAAGTCCGAGAAGACGCTTCCCGTCGCGTCTGTGCGATCTCAGCACCAGGATGGGTTGCAGTCGTGGTTAATTCTCGAGAACCCAGCATCTTAGTTATAGCGGTGTGAACTGTATCGCTTGAGATCACTGAAGTTGGTGAATAATGGACTTCAAAAGATATCACACCCACTATTATTTATTATCCACGAGACTGTTATATGGTGACAATTTTTATTCAGTCTTGTGCTTAATTATGTGAAATGTTTTGACTCTACCCCCCAGGCTTCTGTTGAAATCCTTAATTAATTGCTTTTGTTTTGTAGTCATTTAACTTTTGTATATAAAACATGGGAACGTTGCACGTTACTATTTAATCGCTTCAAGTAGATGTTTAGGTGTGTTTAGAAATACTTGTGGGATTTGGTGCATTTACGTACATATGTATGAGATTTTTGTGTAAAACGGGCAACCTTTCCAAAATGTAGAATAATGAAAATGATCTCAACATTTGGTGCAGTAGCTTTTGAGTGACGTATCACATTGTTTTGTGTCAAAGTAAAAGTTTGAGTTTGTTTGCTTTCAAAAAGGACAGGATGCTTGATTTAGAATACAAGCTTTTTCATAGGATTATAATGTGGTCATTGACCTCTTTTTACTTCCATAGCTGTGAATGCTGTGGCCTCATTTCAAGACCTAGTCACCATTTCAAGTTTCGCAAAACAAATATATTTGTTCTGTTCGTGTTCTCTGCGTGCGTGCTGTGGCGGAGTGCTATCCCTCTGTGAGTGGGAGAGCCTGGGGGGGGGGGGCTTCTTGCCATCAGATTCCCCCCCCCCCCCCCCTTTTCTTGGAACATTTACTCAAGCTCTCTGAAGCTCTTTGGGGATCGGCTGCAGTTTAAGTCTTTCCGCAGAGTGAGAATAGTACTCTAATCTGGAATAACCCGGTCTATTAAGGATATTTATTTGCTTGTTCCTTAGCTGTTCTGCGGTAGATTTTGCCCTTAACTTTGAGTAATTTGAAAGATGCGTTTTCAGCCATTTTTAAAGTACTCAGAAGCCCCAGAATGGTCGCCCAGGAGTATTCGCCTTCATTCAGGTCATTTCTCCTTTGATCATGAGGTCTTACCGTAAGCCGACCTAAGAGTACTCTTCCTACGGAGCCATGCCGGAAGTGCCATGTGGCATTTGTCCTTTGACCGTCCCTTTTGGGTCTCTGTGACCCCCAGAAGGCAGGGGGTATGCCCCCGCTTTGAGTAATGGCTTCCTTCGTGCCGGTGTGACGTCCGTGCCCCTTCCTGGACTTCCTCAGTTCAGCCGCTGGATCCTGCGGCCCATTCGAACCTGCTGCTGGTTTCACACCTCTGCTCATTCTCACGCTTACCAAAATACCGGTCTAATTTGGTGCGTGCCTCTGGCCTGTGACGGAGCTTCCTCTTTGTGAGCATTATGCTCTGTAGAGAAATTCAGGGTTTTTTTTTTTGTGCAAAGTGTTTATGTGTAATCATTAAATGCAAATACCATCAATTGTATGAACTGTGCAAAAGCAGTTTTATCATCACTTTTTCGAGGACGAGCCTCTGCTTATACCTCAAGAGTGATATATGAACCATAGTACTGCCCTACTGGCTTTGAAGAAGGAGGAAAAAAAGAAATTTCTGACCACACAAGCAAGCATTTTATTTCTTTAGCAGATGTTTTTATCTACAAACGTTTTTTTTCCCCTGGAGTAATTGGGGGTTAGGGGCCTTGCTCAAGGGCCCAACGGTGATATCAGTCTGCTGAACCTAGGGTTCAAACTACTGACCTTCTGATCACAGGCTGAGAACCAACTCGCTGATTTTCTGTCCTATTGGTAGAGAGTAAAGTCGAGAGTAAAGTGTACTTTTGATCTTAACTTTAAAATGAAACGTATCATTCATGAATACTGCTACAATGAACATTATGCATGACACAAAACAGTTGTTTCAGGTCATGTGAGCCTTGTCCCAGGATGCACGGGGCATGCCCTGGGTGGGGGCTCAGTGCCCCCCAGGGTGCACATTCACAGGCACACGACGTGCAATTTAGAGACCAGTTCAGAGAGCATGCAGACTCCACACCGAGCTGGGATTTTACCCCCCAATGCAGGAGGTGTGAACCTTTGCCCAGTGGGCCACAGTGCTGCCCTCCTCTCCTTCATTATATAGGATCATTTAGAAAATATCAGGAAACTCAGTTAAGCGCGAATCGGCAGGGTAAATGCACAAGTGAATCATTGTACTTTTTGAGTGCGATTTGTGTTTCTACCCGCTGACGCGTTAAACCGAAACAGACCTTTGCTGTAACAAGTCTAACAATAACAGCGCAGCCTGAGAAGTATTAATACAGCCCCACTCCTTCCACGCACCTTTTGCTAAGCGACACGATATGAGCTCCCGTCTTCCTGTAAACCGCCAGGAGTTTCGTTTTGCCAGGGCACACAGCCCCACTAAGTAAATGCTAAGCGGCCCCCACTTCGCTCTCAATTTGCCATTTTTATTGCATTGGGGGCTGGCAATAATGGAGGCAAGTTAATCATTTTAATCTCCGTTATGGGGTGTAGCTTGGATACAGGCCTGTTGACGGGGACCTTGCTCCCCCCCCCCCCACCAGAACCAGCCAGGGATTATGAACAAGCGTATAACCAGAGGGCTGCATTACTGCCTATGGTCTAATTACAGAGCGCCGTGAATTTTAATGCAGCAGAAAGCATTAATCCTTATTTTGACGTTTCTGGTTCGTCCTTTAAAAACGACAGGGGTCGCGCTGCCTGATCTGCTGTTCAGCTCCTCCTTTCACAGACTAATGTCGATTAGGAATTTAATGAGGAGCCTGATGGGTATTTATTTTCCTCCAGATATGCATCCAGGAGGAGAGATTTTTCAGCCCGGAGAATCGCTCCTGAAAGCCGCATCTGATAAGTAGGCAGAGTTTGGGAAATATGAGGGGAATTCCGGCCCTTATAAGGAACGGCGCGAGGCTGGGGACTGACGATGGGGAGACGTTCCGGAATGCACCGTATTTTCGCTCGTTTATTTTAATTTCCAGCGAGAGCGAGTCGAACCTGAAGGGAATTTCAACAGAGAGGCTGGACATGGGCCCAATGTGGGGGAGACTGAAGCATCCATTTCCGGTACGGGATGGACCTTGACCTAAGTCACAAAAGAGGGGTTACCATGGGAACGAGGAGGTGGTACTCTGCAGTGGCAAACCCCCGTCACTATGCCTAACGAGAGTCACCTTTAGGTGCACTGAAAACGCCACACGGTACATACATGTGATTGTGTGCCGTGTTAACCTGAGTTGCATTTCTGAAGCTAATGCACATGCCTTCTCGGTTGAGGGGCAGCCCAGGCGCAGTGACGTTAGGCCCGCTGGAGGCTTAGAGGTCAATCAAATGCGATGCATTTTTCTCTGCTGCGGTAAAAATGGTGTAAATCACTATAGAGGCTCGTTTCCTGTGATATTGGGTCCATTTTCCATCTTTGGGTGTCTTCATGAAAGTACGTGTAATAAAACCATCCTTTTCACCTCATTCTGCTCAGTATCATACTATAGTTTCTAATGCAGGTGATCACTTTGATTTTTGTATTCATAATTAACTGTTTTCATTTTCAGAGCGATATTAAGGCATCTGTCAGTCTGGGTCATCAGATTGATATAGATGGATGGCATGTTGTTGTGTAGCTGCCTTTCTTGCCTTTCCTTCTCTTTCTTGCCTTTCCTTCTCTTTCTTGCCTTCCCTTCTCTTTCTTGCCTTCCCTTCTCTTTCTTTCCTTTCCTTCTCTTTCTTGCCATCGCTTTGTGATGAAGTAAAATCAGGCGTATAAATCAGGGCTCCCCAGTTTTTGTCCCGGAGTGCCAGAATTCAACAGTTTGCAGATTCCCCTGTTGGAACACGCCTCCTAAACCTGGTAATTGGCTGATTAAAGATGTGTTTCAGCAGGGAAATCTGCAAGCCGCGTGGCGTTCTGACCCCGCAGGACCGGGACCGGGGAGCCCTGGTGTAGATGGTGGAACCAGAGCAGAAATGTGGATTTGCCAGGGGGTGGCGGCCTGGAAGCACTCTGCTGTGCGGGGAGCCCATGGAGTGGTAGAGCAAAGCTGATGCCCCCCATGTCGTGAGCAAGAAAAATGACATCGAGAGGTATCGGGGGGGGGGGGGGCTGGAGAGACAGTGGAGTGCCCTGGCTGATGCTTCCCATAATCCCTTGCTGCAGCGAGGCCTTTGTTAATGTCCGCCCAGCAATATTACATTCGCTAAGCCCCCTTAGGTTATCCTTGTGGTTCTGCTGTGGTGGCCTTCCTCTTGGACCCCAGGTAACGCC